GGCGGGGGTGGGGACGGGGATTAATAGGAATCCCCGATCGAAATTGTGGTCGGGGGTGGGGATTGTGGTTGTGGTCTGATTGAATGAAAATTTATTAAATCTTTCAATTAACAATAATAGAAATTTACCATGTGGTTAATACTCAATATATCATTTTGATTGTTTCTATCATCAAATTGAATATTGGGTTGACGGGGACAATATTTTCAAAACTAGATCAAACCAGACGGTTAGACCAAAAAAACTGGGAACTGGACACCGTTTCACCTCAAAATCGCTTTTTGTCCAAAAACTTTTTATTTAGTTAGCGAACTGCTAACTTGGGAGGTTGAACCGTCAACCTGGACAACAGTTTTTGTCCTTTTTTTTGTTTTTCTAATTTTTTTTTGACAAAGCAAGTCATCCGTTCAAATCGAACAGTTGGACCATTTGACCCCATAACAGTTCCCTATCCGGTCCAATTTTAAAAACCTTGGATGGGGAGCGGGTGCCTTGCCTTGAGCTTGGCTTGGTGTGTGGCATGGCCTGTCCCAAGGCCCAGCCCTTGGACCAGCCCAACCCACGGCATGGCACGGGCCGTCGGCTGTGCCAAACTGACCCCCCAAATACATTGAGGAGTGGTTACCTTACCTTGAACCCGTGTGACACTAGGGATGGGGTAAAGTGTCTTGACTATGGGGCAAGGAAAGGGATGGGGTAAAGTGTCTTGACTATGGGGCAAGGAAAGGGATGGGGTGCCCTACCCTAAACCCACCCTATTGTCATTCCTATATAATTGTTAATTATTAGTAGAATTAATAAAAATGTTAGTTTTTATAATTATTTTTATTTATTTAAAATTAATCAAAATTTTATTTAAAAATAATAAAAAGAATACAAAATATTAAAATTACTACAAATTATTAATAAAACTAAATTTATTAAAAGATATTTGTTCATATTCAATTAACAATAATTTTTTTTATATATCGACATTAAATAAAAAATAAAATTATTAAATCTTTCAGATTTTCCTGTGCATCGCACCGGTCCCTGTTAATTTAGAAGGTAAATAGAAATTAGAGATAATTTTAGAGAAAGTGGAGAAAGTAGTTTAGGATAAATTTTAGGAGAAGAAATTATTTAGGTTATTGGGAAAATGCGTCTCATTCATTGTTTGAAAAAATGATATGAAATAAAAAAAACAAAAAATTAAAAAATAAGGAGAATTTTTTTTTTATTGACCGTTTTATTTTAATATATATATAGAGAGAGAGAGCGAGATTATTTTTGGAGTTATTTTGATAATATTATTATTATCGTCTTCAAAACGTAAAATGGTCGGTCGGACAAAACTCACCGAGAGCTTCAGATATTAGCGCCAAGTACCCTCAAAATGACATCGGTGGTCATTTCCATCGGACGGTCTGTCCCTTTCAACTATAATTTGAACGAATCAGATTGATTCAAAATTCCGATAAATAAACCCACGTTGGCATCTCGTAAACCCTCTCCCTGATCAACCTTTCTAAGGGTTTAGGAAAGAAGAACAAGGCAGAGAAGGATTCGACGAATCTATAGAAGTAGAAGGTAAGGCGTATGTGTAGCTTCTATTACTTTTTAACTCTGCTCTGTTTACTTTATACATGGTCTTGGTTTCTAGGGTTTGATTCATTTGGAGTTGATCAGAGCACCTGATATTGCAATCTGTTCTTTCAAACCTGTGCCGCCCACTGGTGTTTGCAACGATAGTGTAGATTAGTTAAGATAAATCACTTCTTTTAAGGTTTATTTCTGTTTATTTATTCAACTTGGAAGAATAAACTACTTGTTGGTGATGTTGTATAAGGTTTATTTTTTGTTTCTTGAGCTGTTCCGGTGTTTTTTGTCGAGACTGGAGACATCTACTAATGGGAAAAACTTGTGTTGTATCGTTCTACCTTTTTCTTTCACTTTTTGATTGCCTATTTCTGTTTTTATTTTCATGAAATAGGTAGGCTTTCATGTTTTAAGGTTGCTACTCGCCTAAAGTTAGACTTTTACTTGTTTTACACTGCGGTCCTAATGTTGGTGCTGTTCTTTCTCTGTCCATCTCCCTTCTCGTGTTCTTGCAACTGCCTTTCTGCATTAATTTTGACCATTTGGGCGTGCAGAGTGGGACTCATCATGCCCGTGCTCTGTATAGGTTTTTAGCTGGTTTTGTAAGTTGGGATTGGGAACTCATGACATTCTATGTTTCATTTTATGCATACAGGTATTGCGGTTTGGTTCTGTTCTTTAGCCCAGATTGTGCATGATAATTGCTTATTATCCTATATTTCTGTTTGTCTTTCTAATCTTTGTAAAACGAACATCATTCATAACTAATATTCCCAGTATCCATCAAAGGTGGACAATCAGAACGAAAACAGAAAACCACTACGGTGCAGCAATGAGCATAACCAAGGGGGGAGTTCAATGCCGAAGTGATTTAAAAGGCGTGCTTAGATGCAGAGCTGAGGTGCACTTTAAAGTATGCACCTTGCCTAGGCCCCAGGTGCAGTAGTTCCAAAAGGTGTGCACCTTGTGCGCATTGCGCTTAGACCCAAGAATGCAAAATGGTTTACATCACATTAGTTATTTGAAGTCGTGCAATTGGGAAAAGGTTAAAGAGATCGAGAGTTTTATATGCTTGAATAATTTTTATACGTTATGGTTAATTATTTGTAAATTTTCATTTTAAATATGTTTTACATGTTGTGTTTATGTATTTTAATTTGAGATAATGGGTTTTTTAAACTTTTTTTTAATTTAAGTTTATATTTAGAATTAATATTATGTTTATTCATTTTTTTTGTTTTTTTGGCATTTTCATGCCTTGCTCTGAAAAGACATGTGCCTTGCACCTTGCTCTTTTAAAGTACTCCAGCCACAAACCTTTTAGGACAGTTCTTGCTCACAAGATAGTAAACTACAATGTTCTCTGTATGGGAGATATAATTAAATTTTATATGACAAAAACCAACTTAAGTCTTTTCTAAGATCTGCGAGAAGAAAAAAGATATCTGCAGGGACAGGTTAGATGTGATCATTTAAAACATTGTGACAGCCCAAACTGAACTATCAAAAGTCCTGTATTTCTGATTGTCAAATTACATGTGCCATATTTTGCTTTATTAATTCTATCAAAGTGAATCTTCACTTCTACTCAACTGATATCTTCTAAGATGTCCTTATTGATGGTTATGTATTGTGTTCTATCTGTGATGTCATTGAAGATGCCTACTTCTTTGGAGGCATGTATTGAATGAATAATTGGATGAATGAATCTTCCCTTTGCATTTTATCTACAACAGGTGACTTTATGATGGTACCTCTGGGATTATTAGAGTTCTTCATGTCCATGCATTTCTATATATCTATAAGCAAATATGACAAATACTTGTTGTTTGTGTCTTTTGTACAGGCTCCAACAATGGCTTTCCTTGGTAAAGTTGGAAATTTACTTAAGCAGACAATAGGCAAGCAAATCAGTTTGGAATTGTCACCATCTACTCCATCTATATTCCAAGCCATAAGATGCATGTCATCTTCAAAGATCTTTATTGGAGGTTTGTTCATTCTCATTTTTTTGTTAAGTCACAATGTCAGATCTTGTTTTCATGACTGATGATCCTAAACTTTAATGCTGCAGGTCTTTCATATGGCACAGATGACCAGAGTCTGAGGGAAGCTTTTACTGCATATGGGGAAGTAATTGAAGGTACATATGCCTTAATACTTTAATCTTTTTCCCCATTTGTTCCAGTCATATTTCTGGGCATTCTGTTTGTAAAATTGCCAATGTTATATTGACCATTCTCTGAGGAAGTCAGCTATGGAGTTAACCCTGTTATAATGGTGACTAATGGGAAAGTAAGAAGCTGCATATCCAGTGATCATGTTACATGGATATGGTATTTTTGTTGGAACCAGATATGTTATAAGGTGTTCATCTTGACATAGGACTAAGGGACTTGCCTGGTGTATTATAATTTAGCGACTCCAAATGAATCCCTCTTTTGTCCTCACACCTGCACGCATGCCCTTTTTTTTGTATTTTAATGAAATCCTTTATCCATCTTTCAGAAAAAAAAAGGAATGCTGGTTGTGATAGAAAACGAATTAATATAGAAACATAAATCAATGCGAGCAACATAAAAATTTAAAATATTATGTATTTGATTGTACTAAATAACAAGTAAACAATTCACAGCCAACTCTTGTTCTAAAACTAATGGTTTGAGGTAATCACATGTTATGAATTCAACAATTATAAGATTCCATTAAGTTTCAGTTTCAGATTAGTCCATAATTCAATGTGGCTACAATACCCATCTTGAAGTTTCTGTGTAATATAGTCTGGAAATGTTGTAGCCAATGAAGTAAAATATCTTGTCTTCCAGTTTTTTATTGCATAGCTACAATAATGTCTCTTTAGGCCTGGACTGAGCTACTGACTTGTGAGATACAAGTTGTGGTCTGATAGATAAAACACAATTACATGCGTTTGTCTTATATCAATGTTTAAACATTTTGTGTGGCATTTAGCATATAAGTTGAGTTTGTGTATCATGCTCATCTGGAGACTCTTAGGTGAAGTTTCCTTGTTGTAAAATATCTTTGGAGTACTTTCATAAAAATAATCCTCTGAGGACAATGCTGGGGCTTCTGTTCTTGTGTCCCTAGTGAAAGTTGCACAATGAATGTGTTATTTGTGATTTTTGATTGGATTGCCATGTGTTGGATTTGCATGGATTCTTTTTGACACCGGTAAATATGTGCCCTACATACCACAGATAAGCTGCACATGAGAGATCTTAGAGTGACCACTACTACTACTTTTGCATAATACAAATATTTGAACATGTCTTGATTTGACAACTATTCAAGTTATGGCAGCTTATTGATTACATGTTTTGTGTGTTGAAAGGTGTATTTTCCATTTTTTTCCCTTTTTGTATTGCATGACACATTGGTTTTGTTTTTTGATAAGCATAATATTCTTTGCAGCAAGAGTGATCATGGATCGTGAAACTGGTAGATCCAGGGGCTTTGGATTTGTTACTTATACATCTGGTGAGGAGGCTTCCAGTGCCATTCAAGCCTTGGATGGACAGGTATTATGGCTTCTTTTAGCATCTTGTCATTTATTGGTGCTTTTTAGGTGATTGCATGAATGTCATGGAAATAAATAGCTAAGCTTTTCTGATACGTACATATTGTTTACGCGTTGGTATCAGATATATATGCATTTCTACTGAGTGATGATCCGGACGATCCAATATGAACAGTCATGCTGAATAAACTGTGTGGATCCTATCATGTTCATCATTCATTAGCTCATAAATTTGAGGCATTTAAAAGTATTGTTGGCTTTTTTTGATCCAATATGTGCAGGCATTTAACCCCGGGCCCATTCAAATTTTGACAAAAGTCCAACCTGAGCCCCCCCCCCCCGGCACTTGCTTAATAAGTGGTTATAATTCATGTAAAACTGCATCTCAATTCAGTTTTTTTAATGCTCGAAATGATGGATACTTTATCAGTTTTTTTAATGCACATGTGAGAATTAAGATCAGTTTGTGAAGTTGGTTTTACATAGCTTCTATTTGGTATATGGTAACTAGGTTGATCTCAGGGTTTTTTCCTTGCCATTTTGAGGAATGATAGTCGGACGTTCATAAAATAAACTTCAACTGGTAATTCTCTGATGACTCGTTGCTTTTTCACCAGGAACTTCATGGTCGAAGGGTGAGGGTGAATTATGCAGCCGATAGGGCTGGAGGATTCCGCAGTGGCGGTGGTGGTTATGGTGGCGGTGGTAGCTATGGTGGTGGTGGTTATGGTGGTGGTGGTTATGGTGGTGGTGGCAGTTATGGTGGTGGTGGCAGTTATGGCGGTGCCGGTAGTGGTGGATATGGTGGTGACAACTTTGGCAGCGGAGGTGGCAGCAGTGGTAGTTACAGTAGTGGGGGTTACGGTGGAAGTGGTGCTAGTGGCAGCTATGGCACTGGTGGTGACGGTGGAAGCTCTGGTGGCTATGCCAATGTCAGCGGCAGTGGAAATTATGGTGTTGCAGGGAGTGGCGGTGGCAGTGATAACTATATGGGCAGTAGTGTAGGTGGCGAGAACAGCTTTGCAGGTGGTGGATATGGTAGTAGCGGCGGAATGTCATATGGTGGTGGAGATCAATACACAACTAATAATCAAAGCGGCACGGGCGAGAATTTTAGAGACAACGATGACAATGATGATGAGCCTGATGACTATGCAAATAAGAGGGCCTGATGGGTGCTGCTGAGGAAAGAATTATTAGCCCTTGGATTACTGTCATTAGTCTAACCTGATTTTTCTTCCATGTTTCCTTTAAATTTCTTTTGATGTTTGTTTTTTTGGACCGCCAAAGTGAAGGCAACTGTTTGATAATATTAAGTTGGCAAATAACTTGTCATTACTATAATATAGTTGTTACTATTCCTTCTAGATAGCAACTGTTTTTGCTCTAGCAAATGGAAAGAATCATCTTTCGTTCGTCTTCGTCAAAACTAAAGGTACACATGGCTCTGACCATTGAACCGTTTGTACTCCATTTATCTAGCCGCTGTTTGGCATCGTTGCCGTTTCCTGGAGCAATGGTATCACATCAGTGCCATATAGGAAAAAATGGTGATCCAGGAAATAGTTAATGTTTGAAACCGTTTTTTCATAGAAAATGGTGTTCTAAGCCATGTCTTGGAAATCGAAAATGCATGGCTTGAAACAATGCTAAATTTGGTGTTTCCTGTAGTTGCAGTTTATTGCTGTTAATATGGCAGTGATGTGGCATTGGATAATGAGTAGAAGTGCAAAAAACGTTTCTTGGAGCATTGATATCAAATAGAAAAAGTTGCTGTTGTTTCAAGAAGTCCTACCTAATAGCATCTATGTAGCTGCAACTGCAGCATCGATGCCAAACACTAACCTAGTTTGTGGTATGTGTTCCTCCTTGTCCCTTCCCGTCTCATAATACACCTGATTTCTGAGTTTTTATAGAGGTAAACCTTGTGAATGGGTTTGAATTGGATTGGACTATCAAGGTTCAAAATTTTGATAATTGTATGTTTCTACAGGGAATGTTTCCGGGTTTAATCCGGTTCAGGGACTGATTCTTCTGAACCAGGTTTAAAAAAAAACACAAGGTTTTAAAAAAACTAAAATAAGGGGAGCGAGCCCCAATACAGTGATATGCCCCTATACTTTGAACCTTAATATTTAGGGAAAACCCTTATTAAACTTGAACCCTTGAGGGGTTATCTGTGAGCCGTGGAGGGAGACCTGCTACCATGGGAAACCGAAAAGGCACCTAGATGAAGTTGGAACTGGTTGCGTACTTGCGTTTTCTATAATAAGTGTTTTGTGGCTTATTGCATTTTAGAAGCCAAATGCATCTCAAAAAGCCACCAAAACCGTTTGGTAAGAAATGTAATTAGAAGTACAAAAAAAAGCTTCTAGCTTCTTACGCTTTTCCCCTTATAAGAGATTAAAGAAAAAGTCCGTTAAGGCAGGCTGCATCAAAATGCTCTAATAAGCACTTATTCAATATGTACTTATTTAAAATTCCGTTTAAGAAAGCCTGCATATGCCATGGAATTAGAGCAAAATCTAGATTGACTGGTTTAAAAACCAACCGCTAATATAAAGGCTGTATTTGGGAAGAGTGCAATGCTGGTTCTTTCAGGACAGTTTTATGGTCATTTGCACCCATGGTTGTTTTGGTTGGAAGAAAACAAATTGAGAGTGCAAATTTGCTGGTGTTTGAGAGTTTTTTATGTTGTAAGTAAAATCTAGCCTCTATGAGCCCTGTTGCCTGTACAACACAAAAAATAAAATAAATAACAAAAACATTATTATCAGTAAACATATATTTAGATTTGTAATTGTAGAAAATTTTTCCTAAATACATGTGGGAACCAAGAGGGAAAGTAGAAGAAAACCCCAGACAGAACTTGGCCTCTATATATTCTGGTGTTTCCCAAACCTATTTTGGGAGGCAACTTTTCCCTTCCAAATACTGTGAAGTGTGAAGTATGGCGATGTTCTGAGAACCTTAATCTTTTCATCACCGGTGAATATCCAATCTCAATGGGGAGGACAAATAACATACCTGAGATGTTCTGAGACCTTCAGAATAGCCAGCAATGCCGTATGTCAATTTCGAGTTCGTCGGAGCTCGAAATAGCAATTCAAGTTTTTCGTTTCTGTCGTCAGAGGTCAAGAAGATAGGTAGCTGTTGATGAAAAGTAACCGTTGCTGTAGTATTCCTCAACGAGAAGATGTGACAAAGAAGCAAATCAGTGTTCTATTTCCATCGATGGAAAGTGAGAACACAGGTTTGCTTCCCTTTCTCGATGTACATTTACACTTTCCCTCGATTTTCAGGATTCATTTACAACTTTACCTAACAGCGGAAAACTGACCCGGGGTGCATATTTCCATTGAACCATACTTTGCACTCTTCCCAAACGGAGCCTTGGAAAGAAATTAAATTTATCAATGCAAAACCAAATCAACTTTGCATTGTATGGATGGACCAGAATGCACTCTGCATATTTGCATTTACACTATTTGCACTCATCCCAAACGCAACCAAGCAATTAATGCATTATGTTTTTTTAGTTTCATTCTAATTTTAGTTTTCATCCATTGAAAATAACATTTTTCGAGCATTTAAAACTACAGGAGAACCTTGCCTGGCCTTTTCCACAATCCGTTTTATCAACAGCTTTCCCATTTCATCTTCTTCATCTTCGCTCTCACCAACCTCATTCGATCCTCGATTCCTTGAGATCCGCTCTTCCCATGTAGTCACTTTATTATGAACCGAATTCCTTGACCACCTCTCCTCAATGACACCAAAATGGGAGATGGAACCATATTCCCCACCTTCATTTTGGCTCCAATATGGACTCTTACCAAACGGATTTAATGCATCTTGGTCCATCTTGTTATTTTTAGATGCCGTGGATGACATATCTTCTTCTGGCTCAGTCACTCTCATTAACTCTTCATATGCTTCGTTGTACGCATCAAGTGCTTCGCCTGATAGATTTAGAACTAATGGGTGGGCTACATTATTGCTCTCCTCTGCCATGGTTGGGCTTTCTTGGTTCGATGAAGATCCTATTTCACTGTTTGAGAAGTCTCTCCTGAAATTGATCTGTTCTGATTCCATTAAATGCACCCGTGTTTGACTTTGTTGTAAGGCTGTCTCAAGCTCCATGATGCGTTCCTCTAGCCTTGCTTGAATAACTTCTTGAAGACGCAAACTGAGCTCTCTAGGTGAGACAGCATAGTTTGCATTCTGGGTTTGAGTTGAGGTGCCACTTGCATCTCGGTCTGAGTCAACTTGGTAACCAGCTCCACCATTAATTAATTCTGCTTTCAGTTCTCCATGGATAATTTCTCCTACAAAGTCTGGATCAAGCTGCAACCAGAGCCCAAACTATTAAAATTGATTAAACATACATCTCTTAACACGAGCAAATAAGAATCAGTTTCAAATATATGCAAATAGAAAATAATAATAAACATAGAAAAAGTAACTCGGTAGTTTAATGTAGTAATACTGACTGACTAGTCATAATCTCTTTCCTGGACCACACATGTGTCTATGCTTTCTTTTCTTTTATTTTTTAACAATGAAAACGTTATTGTGTCTCACCACCTCAGAGTTGTACGGGTAATGGGATGATTCATTCTTGATTGCTATATATAACAAACAAAAGTAGAAGTAAAAAATGAATGTTTTTCCAACGGTTGCAATTTGGTTGGTTTGAAATCTATGTTCACTAACACCCCCCCCCATTCCCATTATATTCTTCTCCCTAGAAGCTGTTGCTTGGTTCAATGGTAAACTCTAGGGCTGAGTGTGAGAATGCAAGTCTGAATCTGAGAGTGGCCATTTTGTGTTAGAAATGTTGGAGGTTAAATCTTAGTTTAAGACCAGCCAAATCATGGCCAATAGTTTGGCTACAGTTGGGGTTGATAGGAATTAGTAACATTAGAGTTCAGTCATCCTTGGATATGTTATGGGATTTTTCTGGGGATCTACCATTTTACTTATGAGGCTACTTTGACTTCCTAAGGATTTGGGCTCTTGGTCCCCTTCTTCTCCTTCAAAGGACTAAACATCTTACCAACAGAATAATAGAATGTAGTCCCAGCCATCTGATGACTATATATGATAATGGCAATCCCTGTAACAAGAGAGAAGGTGGTGGTTGGGGCCTTGGGGGAGGGGTGTCGAGAAGCAAGACTGACTGAGATTGAAACGAGTTATCTAGCACCCTTGGTTGAGGAAAGATTTTATTTAACTTGAACTCCTGATTGTATCAGAATCCAAGACAAACCATAGATTGTCACAATCGGTCAGTTAAGTCATTGCATACAACAGTGTGTGATATAGGCCCATATTTCTTCTGATTAAAAAGTAACACTAGGATTCAAGTAGAATGCCTGTTTCCCATCTTTGTCAAATGCTTAGGAACAGAAAGTTGGTTAAATGCTGAATACATTAAGAAATCGTGTTAAGTAGCAGAAGTTTTTTAATCCAAAGTTCGACAGGAAACTATTGTTAGATAGCAACTCAGGGCATGATGATCAAGATTAAGTTGAAAGAAAAAGAAATCAAATAAATTACTCATCTAGAAAGCTCAAATAATCATCCTAGCTGGACCTATAAAAAGTGTCATCCTAATTGGGAAATTGGCTTTTCCACTCTAGAATCCACTCAACTATTGAATGTTGGACGTTTTCAATCATAAAATAATGGAAAATGGGTGACATGTGGAACACACAGATATAATATCTATGATTAAAACAATCATCTTAACTCTGCTACCTGTTCGATAAAAATATTTCCAAAATAAAGTTTGATAGCTGCAGATTGTTTACCAATAGTTAGAAGAGCATAAGGTAACTCAACAAAAGATAATCATGGAAATTCAAGTGCAGAAGTATTTGATAACTGTTCATCTTTTCATTGGTACTTTATAGAACTAATAAAAGATATTATGAAGAAGAGTCTAGCCTCAAAGCATACCTCCAGAAAGTCGGATAACCTTCTCTGTGAGCTAGATGAATTCATGTTTACTTCCAGTCTCTCCAGTTCAGCTTCAAGCTCTGCTTCAATTTTACTCATAGACTCTGAACTCTTGTTAGCTTTCTGATCATGTGGTTCTTTACTATAACATTTAGTAGATGCATCCCATTTGTGTTCAGAAGGAAATGGAGCTGGGGCCTGGTTAAGAAAGCAAATGTCATTGATTTCCTGAGATTCATAACCTTCATTAGTTAGCTCCTTCACAGTCAGTGAATCCTTCATCTCCAACTCCTCTTGTAGATCTTGAACTAAGTTCTCAGTCTGCTTTAACAAGTCCTTTAATTTGTCCACTTCTCTTTTATTTGCTACAAGAGTAGTCATTACACCTACAGCGATTCCAATGCAGAAAAGAAGCACTTCATTGGGAGATCCTGTTGAGTATGGTAGTATCAGAGTATGATAAAAAAAAGAAGGTGCATAGTTGATATATGAAGAGCAGAAAAGAACATGATATTTGAGGAATTCCATCCAGGCAAGACTTTGCTTATCAATATGGGTGTGGAGGGTAGCTGATTAGATGATTTTTGTTGCATTACATGCATATATTGGTTCACATCAAATTATCAATACTACGAGTAATAAAATAAGTACTTAAAACATTAAAAGATGAGATCCTGTAAGATAAGATTGACATTTATCATCTCCAATGGATAAAGGGCCAGTACCAAAAGTTGGACCCAGATATCTTGGATCTTGGGAAGGCTGGAATGATCTGACTGGATATGGACCTAAGCTTCAGCATCTCAACTTCAATCTGCAACTTCATGCTTGTCAGCCCAAGATTTTGCCATTGCACCAAGCAATGACAACAATCTAATTCAAGATATCAGAAGCCTTTTTCCCTTAGAGTCCAATTTGAGAAGAATGACCAACAATCTGGAGCATTACAATGAACAGGCCTTGCCTTTAAGACAGTGCTGATGTAAAAAAATTTTAAAACAAGATCAGCTAACAGTGTGCCTGATTCTTTGGCCAAGCAAGGGGTTAAGCATAATGATACTTTGTAATGATGTAACATTACTGAACTGTCCTAATAAGCATCATTCATTGTTAAAAAAAAAAATTAAACCTTACTCACCATTCCGTTCTGTTCAGTGACATATCCATTGTTAAATTATGAGTGCTTAAATCATTTCTTACTACTTCAACCCACGTCCTTTTTTGGTCTGCCCCATGTCCTAATAAGCATAATTAGTTTCTATAAATTGAAACATGCAATTTGTAACAAAAATGTCCCTTTGTAAAAAGAGGACAGGAGAATTTTCAACTAACAAAACTAACCTAGAAATCTTTCAAGAAAGTGAAATTCTCCTTGGTTGAAGAGTTGGCTTCATTTCTCTCATCAATGTCAACTATTGAAGTAAAAGATACTGTTACCAGACAGGGTTTTGACTATCAGATAAAATTGGTTCTGAAATATGAGAGAAGGTTAAATTTCCTAGAGAGTGCATCTAGAAAAGAATGAAAATACGCTGGATTTGCAAATGAAAGTAAATAAATAACAAAGGAAAAATGTAATACCTTCTGAACGAGAGCTTCTCAGGGAGACTTTCAAATTGGAACTACTATATCTTCCTGTCCGCCCCTTCCCTCTTTTCTGTTTGACCTTCCTTGGAAGCTGCACTGAATCAATTTCTGGAAGCGGAGACACCCCAAATGCTGTCTTCTCTTCTGAGTGTACTTCACTCTTGCCGTACAGTTTACTTCCCAAGCTTTCGGATTGCATAGTGTAATCACCACTTGCTCTGCTGATTATTCTGCTTCCATCAGTTACAAGAAATGGCCTCACAGCTGGTGTACGTGGCGATGAAAGTGAACTAAACACATATTCTTCCATTTCAACATGCTCCTTGTACAGCTGAGCTATGAGGCAACTTTCTAAAGAACTTATTGGTTTAACAGAATACCCCAAAGGCCGTCTACTTTTAAGACTTCTACTTCTGCTGTATCTATTACTTATATTCATCTCTGCTGTGGAAAATTCTGATGATAAAAAATTGCCAGAACTATCACCAACCTCGTTGTTTCCCTTGAATCCACTCCCATTCTTTTCATGATTTTCATTAGAGATACCTGAAGACAAACTCGATGTAGAAAGCACACTGTAATCATCATACTCCCCAAAATGGGTTGAACCATTGTACCCACTAGTTGAAGCCATTTCTGTTGCTGAAGAGCTACATGACCGGAGCGTGTCAGAAAATCTCAAATCCAGATTCGACGAGAACTCTTCTCTACCAGAAGAAGAGTCTTCACCTGATTGTGTCTGGCTGAGTCTACGGAAGTTGCTCGTCTGCTCACGCAGTTGTTGCAGCAAAGGTTGGGATTCAGATTTCAAGCACAGGGAGTCTCCTGAAGACGATTGGGATGGACCTTCTTTCTCCTTCGAAAGATTCTTCCAATACTTAGCTAGGTATCCGGAACAGGCAGCTACTGCAACAACCCATACATCCATTTCCACTCTCACAACCACAATTAGTATCAGTACCCCAGTTCATTTAACTTCCCCTTTTGCTCCAATTGCAATATAAATAACCCAGAAAGAAACGAACCCATAAAACACAATGCCTAAACTCAAAACAACAAATTACCGAAACTCAAAACAACAAATTACCGAAACTCAAAACTCCAGGGGCTGAAAACTTCAGGGATCAATACTTAATTAGTAGAAAGAACGAAAGAATTTAAAACAGTCAAATGCCCTCAACCTCCAGTGAAGAAAATAGAATAAGGCATACAGTAAAATAAAGATATTAGATTCACGACAAGACCCAAAACTATAAATTACTAGGGAAACCAGCGGTTAGCATCAAAGAGAAAAGAAACAAGAAAATCGAAGTCCCAAAGAAAAAAAAAAGGTTTCTCAATCTGAACCCTGTAACCTAAAAGGCTAAAACCACCCAAACCCAACTCATAGGGAAAAAACAATAAAAACAAGTGTGGAAAATTCTCGATTCAACCCAGATGAAAGCAACCCTGTGGACTGTAGAGCCCATCAATAGAAAGAACCCATTTCGCTAAAAATACTCTAAGAGAGAAGTTCAGATTAGAGACGAGAACAAAAAAGGAAAAAAAAAAGAAAAAAACGGCTTACTACTCTAGTTGTAATATGAAAACCTCGTTTTCTGGTTCCAAGCTGTGAAGGGAACCAACCACACTCCTGGCCAATGGATTGCAGATTGAAAAGTCGAAGAAACAATACCAATAGTTCTGTTATCTACTTAGAAAAACTAAACGAAGTTATAAATCTCCACAGAGACTTCATAGAGGGAGAGAGATTTTCTGCTTGTCTATTTGTTGTGATTTCTTTATAAAAGGAGCTTCTCTTTGAGTCGAGAGAAGGGGTCTTTTGCTACGTGGCTACATTCGTATATGTGCTTGAACAAAGGAATACTGCTAAGGGAAAGCCGACGCTTCTATTTTGGCCCGTTTAGACACTTACGCCCTAGAAGACAAGAGGAAACCATGTTTGCCATCTGGCCAACTTGCCACGTGTCTCCAAATGGGTCTCACATGGACATTTTTCCTTAAATTTAAAACTGTACTGTAACTTTATTAATTAGAATAGAATGGTTCTTGTTGGAATTCTACGTTTGTTTTATAACACCACCAAACCCTTTCATCCTAGACTCTAGCCACCCAAGTCCCGAGTGAAACTCAACTAGTGACTATCACTGATCAATTGATGCATGGATTTCTTTGTTACCGTCTGATCGTTATGGTTTTCCAGTTTAATTGTTCTAAACTTCTAATACTGTGATGCATCTCAGCATCTGACATGAATATACGCCAAGAGCAAGCTGGATTCATGTGACAAGGGGTCAGTTGTATGTGTCATGTTTGTTGGGGCTGTGGCCCATTGAAAACGATGGTCATACAAATACTTGCTGTTCAATTTTGCTACATTTTGAATTTTTGATAGAGAAGCAGAATGGAAAGATTTGACTATGACTTGGTCAGTTTCTTTCAGGGTGTTTGGCCGCTCCTCTTTCCAACTTCTTTTTGAAGCAATCTAGATTTTTCTTTTTTTTTTTGGTGAGAAAGCAATTCGTTCAAAGGAAAGGGAAACAGAATACAATAGAAATTCAGATACAAACAGACCACCTAAAAGACAACACCCTCAACCTAGAAATATACTATTGTAGCAATCTAACAAAGGATCACAGTCAACACTTAAAACAGTTCAATAACCAATCTGGTGGAGAAATATTCTTCCACCAGCACTCACTAGAATCAAAACTATGATAAGCTATGAAATGAGCAGCCTCATTTCCTGAGAGACTAACAAAAGAGATGTTCAAGGACAGAGCATTCTCTAATAATGGCATCAAAAGATGAGCATCCCCAAAAGGAAAACCCCCATCCATGTTAACCTTGTAACGACCAGTCCCTGGGGGCTTCCATAACTTTTCTACGCCATTTGCGCGTGGATGTTTTCAGCTTTTGAGCCGCTGAAGAGTCTTCAAATTATTATTCATTGGTTTTTTTTTTAAGGGTAAATCTCTTAAATTACCCCTAAATTTTAGGAAATTGAATTACTCATAGATGGGATCACCTCCTTTCTCTGTTGCTGCAATGACCTCTAAACAGGAGGGTAGGAATGGCAACGGGGTGGGTTTGGGGCGAGGATCATATTCTCCATCCCAACCCTAACTTTGAAATTAATCTTCATCCCCGTCCCCGATCCCCACCGGGGACAAAAGTTGTCTTCCATTCCCGATCCCCAACAGGGATGGATTCCCCGTGGGGACCCAAATCCCCAAAATTTTTTTAGATAACAGTATTTTTTAAAAAAATAGATAAAATTTTAAAATATAAATAATGTTTTATGTGTGTTTTGATATATATAAATCATATAAATAATATTTAATACATATATAATTGAGATCGGGGCAGGGTCCAACAATTATATGTTTTATATAATTGAGATCGGGGAAGTTGGGTCCCCATCCGGGATGGGGAAATTGCCATCCTACAGGAGGGGTCATCTCCCACCCAAAAATTAGATTTTGAGAATGCCATCTTAGCTCTTACTAGCTCTATGTCCATATGCTTCAATATCGTGGTCCATGGACAAGTAAGCGTAGTGGGCTGATTAGAATTTTGGACTTGGGCCAGAGGGGATTTCAGAAATGTCCATTGGTTAACACTCCTAAGTGTTTAAATGGACTACAATCTAACTCTTTCAGAAGGGGCTGTTCATTTTTTCTATTGCTGTCCTTCTGTCTCTATACCCTTGAACTAACTTCTGATTAAATAACCAGATTAAATAACCAGGTCATTTAAGATAATCAACTTTAGAGGAGAAACTCGTCATTGTACCGGAGTCATGCATATTTCTATCCTTGAAATTCAAGAGAGTAGATTAAGATCACCTTTATCTGATTTACAATGCCCAGAGTCTACACAGTAGGTTTACCAAGACCAAGATACTGGAATGTATATCTACTTTTTGGGGGATGGAAACATGGCACTAATATGTTACTTCACCAAAGAAAAAGTCTTCTTTGGAGAATCCCATTCTGTTACAAGTTGAAGGGGGTGACCAAAAAGACTTGGGTGGAAATAATAAGAAAGGATTTAAGTGCCTATGATTTAACAATGGATATGGAACTGAACAGAACAGAACGACAAAACAGAATTTCATGTAGTTGATCCCATATAGTTGGAGCAAGGCTTAGATGATGATGATGATGATAAACTATGGAGGAGCCCATCTTTGTATGGATCATGCATTATTGCACCTCCTTAAAGTTCATGAGAGAGCTAAAACCATCGACTTAAATGGACAAATATATAGCTCTTAATTTTCTTTACAAAGTTCAGTCTAGACTCCTGGTCAACAAAGACTAGGATACTAGAATTTATGTTTTCTACTCTTCTGGGGTGGAACATGAAAGAGATGACAATTTACCACTGCAATGAGTAAAAATTTATGCATATGCAAGTGTTTTCTCATCAAGAAGCTAATGTCATGCTTGGGCAACTGTCAACACTGCAAGCCAAGATGTCCCTATAATCTCGTGAGATTCTAAAGGAGTCATAGACCTTCCCATCACTGCTCTTCTTGTACTCAAACAGCAGATTTGAGTGGTCAAATGCTGTAAGCTTTATGAATCCAAAGTCATGGTCCTTGTAATAATTCCATTTGGTCTGAATTGTGGTGAAATCTGCAAGGCTAGCACCTCCTCCCCCAGCAACTACATGGATGGTTCCATTCAAGGGACCCTGATAGTGTGATTTTTCTTTATTGGTACAAATATTCTGTAATAGAAACATGAAACCCATTATTAGTTTATGAGGTGCAGAATCTGAATGAACTAAGTCACTAACAAGCATTTTGCTACCATTTGAAAATTTTGGTTTAATTTAGAAGAGGTAGAATGCTCATTTGTACAAGATATTGATAATTGACACTAATAACAAGTCAATTAATAGAAAGTTAACCATTATATGTAAAAGGCATTGCAGATTGGATGTTGGTCAGCTTCCTTGAGAAGAAAATCCCTAAAATACCTGGAAATTCTAATTCCAGAACAGGGGTTTGATGCATGGACTAGAAAGAGTTATCAAGGAAAATTTTTAAAGCTTATAATGTTATGTTTGTGTAGAAGCAAGGAATCAGGGAGTAAAGTGGATTTTCATTGTTATGTAAATTGTAGGAATACCTCATAGATTGGACACGTCCTTTCATAGTTGTGAACATGGCCATAGACAGCTATATCGACCTTGTACTTCTGCCAAAGTTTCTGGAGGCTTTCTCTCCCCATTGGTTCCTCAAAAGACCCCTCTTCAGCATAAAAACTACCTGAAGAATAACCAAGTACTCGATGGGCAAGGAAGATCAACCATGGTTGCTTCTGTCTGTCAGCAGAAGCTAGGCAGTTCTCAATAAATTTATATTGCTCTGTTCCTTCTCTCCAATCATGTTCTGTGTCAGCTATGCAGAAGTGGAACATGCCATAGTCTGTAGAGTACCTGGAAATAGAAGAATATATGATGTTCCAAGCAAGATAATTATGAAAGAAAAGGATTGGAACATTGATAAAAATTCATCTCCCCATGTGTATGCATTAGAAATTGTGAATCAAACTAGGAGACCTCCAAGGTGGTTTAGTTTTGCATGGACACCGGCGCTCAGATGGGGCTTACAAGTCAATGTGTATCCATGAGTTGACTCGTCTATAACTCTCCAAAATCTGCCACACTCAGCTACAGTGTGAATGAAGCGGTTTACCAAAATGTCTATCATGATGACTTAAAATTATGAATACCCACTTTAAATGCCTGTGCATTTGAACTGTCCAATATAGTGTTTATATTTTCCCAATTTACACATGGCTCATGATCCATTGTTTATTGAATCTTTTCCAATTAAAATTGAAACTAGGAAAACAATGAAAAACAACTAGTATGGTTACATGGTAAATAGGCAAAGGCTTAGAGTTTAACTTGTCAATTGTAAAATGCAATTTAACTATACACACATAACAAAATGCTATTTATGCAAGATGTGCCCACAAATCCAATGTTTTGGGTTCACCAAGTTGGACTCCTAGACATATCTCAACTTTCAATTCCCGTGTTTGTGTCCATGCAACACTCTCAGATGCTCAGATCCAAGCCCAGTGGCATATGCTCTCTTTGTCTCTATGCACATGCTAACACATAGAAATATGAATCATGGAAGAAAGGATGTTGTGAATCCCCCTACGGGCCCTACCAGAACTTAGCCCTGTTTTCTGCAGGAGTATAAAACATGGTCTCAGCTGGCACACCACACTCTCCACCTGAATCCATATTCCCATAGAAGGATCCGGTTCCAGGCCAATCACGCTCATGGTTACCACTACAAGAAAAAAAGTACCAAGTTCCAATTAATACAAAGAGTGTGGTCCACCAAATTATAGAGCTGAAATGGAGGAAGACAAACCTGGCAATCATATAAGGCACTTTTGAAGTAATTGGCTCAACCTGTGCAGTGAACTGATCCCATTGTGAAAGATAACCATTTGCATAACATATATCTCCAATGTGGAAGATGATATCAATGTTCTTTAAGTCTCGGATAAGCTGATGAGTAGTGTTAAGGGAGCCAGGTTGGTAATTATTATATTCATTGGAACCATCAGCTTCTGCCTGGAAAGGAGGGGGGGAGGGATAAAAATTAGATTCTTCAGGTTCACCATTTCAAGTATTGGTTTCTATTATCATTTCCTTTTAAGAAGGTAATGGTATTTATAATTATCATATGCATGCCAATCATGATGTACAAGGAAAAATAGGATATAAACCTGAATGATAATTAGGTTAGGAGCCAGATTTAATGTCCAAAACATATGATACATACCCAAGACATGCACAATATATGCAATCATATATTACATTGACTAGTATAGATTTATTCCAAATATAGCATGGGATAATTCTCAAAATCCATGAGAAGCATTGTCAAGCCAAACATCTTCAAACTTTAATATGCATGAATATGTTTTGGAGGAGAATTCAGACCTTTCCCATATCCCCGAAAATGACTACACGTTGTAGAGAATCCTGACCAGGATAGGGAGATGCCCTGAAACTGTATGTCTGACTCCAAACATATGTACCATTAAATAAGTGATGCCCCACCTTGTATGTATATCTGCATCATCAATATGTAATACTATTAAATATTAATGTTGTGCAATATATTACCTGGAAATGGTTAATAACACCCAACACCTATGTTACCTGGATACAGCAAGGACAGAGCTGGATATGGTATTGGAAATGAATTCTACACTAAAAGTTGAAGTATCCTACATGATACAACACCCTTGTACAGGTATCTGGGTATCATTCAATGCAGCCATGGTTAAATAATCATGATTCGGACCTTAAACCCCAAATCACTTCTTATGGGACAATACTTGAACTAAAAAACTAGTGCTATCAGAAAAATCAGATAAAAACATTCCTTTCGTTCATTGCCCATGACCAATAATAGTGGTCAGTTTTCTTCACCTTTTAGTCACAGGGAAACATATCCTACTTTAGTGTTCCACTCATCCTCCCTCACACTTACTGGGGCTACTCCTAGATTCCCACAAGGAAGTTTGGCTAGAACACAGACGTAATGACAAAACACACATATGTATATGCAAAAGGAAGAAGCTACTTACACTGAATTGGGCCACAGGTCCTTCAGAAAACTTGTGTGTATGAATCCAGGATCACGCCACCCCACTGTCCTTGCTGGTGCACCTGTATTTATTGAAATGTATTATATACAATAAAAAAATCAAGTTCTCAGAATATGTATGCTTTCCAGAAAGAAACAAACATAAAATAGTACCACCAACTCTACTGAAGTTAGTAATGTATATTGGAATAATTGCAGTTTCAGAAACAAAGTAATTGTTTCTTTTTCTTTTCTGTTCTTTTTTTTATTTCCATCTATGCCATTGTCATTAAAGACTTGGTAATAAGCCATATTGAAGTCATTGAGATATCACGGGATAATTGCAGTTTGAGAAATTCTTTTTCTTTTCTCCTCAATTTAAGTCCTCACTCCTCAGACTTGCACTTATTAATTCTAGCCTTTTCAGACTTATGATGAGGGAGCATTTCCAATATTATGCCATGAATTATTTTTGTACCTTTGTCTTGTGCACTTGTTTGCCCAAAACTGAAAATCTTCACCTCCATTATGATATTCAAAGCATACAATTAATAACGTAAGAGACAATAAGCAGAAGTTAACATGTAACATCAACAAAAAAGATGAATGAAAAAATCCAGCCACATGCTATACAAAGTACAAACTGGGGCAAGGCAGTTAAGAATTGTTTCACTGGAAAGGTAGTGATGCAGAAATTGAAGCAAGGAATGAATTCATGAAGAACCAATTCAGTTTTTCAATTCCTACACCAATTTCGGAATTTTAAGTGTTGGGATTATTGGTATTTTTAAGTGTTTTCAGATTTATTTTCGAGTTGTAGGTAGCTTAAGAATAGGGCTTTATGTTTTCTAGAAATTTACAGTTATATCAGAATTACTATTTATAGCTAGGTCTGCAACTTGGGTTGGGTTAGCCTGAACCCAAAAAACTAGGGTTGGGTTAGGGTTGAGGCCTTGACTAACCTGACCCAATCCGAAACTGACTTAACTTCATATTTGCATATACAAATATTATATAAATATGTATTTATGCGCGTGTACTTATGTATATGTGTATTCACTGTCCATGCATGTATGCATCCATGTATTTTTTTGAATATTATATAAATATGTATAATATTTGTATATACATATACATGGTATGTATATGTGTATTCCTGAAAAACTAGGGTTGGGTTAGGGTTGAGGCCTTGACTAACCTGACCCAATCCAAACCTGACTTAACTTCATATTTGCATATATAAATATGTATTTATGCACGTGTACTTATGTATATGTGTATTCACTGTCCATGCATGGATGCAACTATGCATCCATAAATGTATACATCTATAAATTTATGTATTTTTTTGCATCAAGTATTTATGTATATACATATTTATCTATCTATACATGTATGCATGTAATATTATATATAAAAAATGTGAAGTTTAATGGAAAATTCTTTCTAAAACATGATCGCTATGTTCTTCTACACACAATAATGCTAATATTGAATTAACATGAACCCTTAGAGTCTAGGAAATACGTACATTTGGAAAAAGGAAGTAGAGAAGTTGGTCCAACCCACTGATAAAAAAAAAAAAAGTTGGTCCAACCCGAACCCAACTGAAGTTTTAGGGTTGGGGGGTTCAACAACTCAGGTTGGGTTAGGGCTGACCTCAACTCGACCTAACCCATCCAGACTTGCACCCCTGTTTGTAGTAACTTTCAGGCTTACTATTTATAGTAACTCCCATAATTACCATTTATAACAAAATCAAAGTAAATTTACCATTAAGTTAGTTTTAGTAGGGTTAGAAAAGTGTTATCAAAGTTGTTTTAGGAGTTAGAGTCCTTATTCAAGCAATTAAAAATGTTGGGTGGCCTAAAAAATGTTATTTTGGGTCAATTTATAGCCCAAATTGAGTCTTCAAAAGGACATCCTAGTTCTCATGGTGTCTATAGACAGATTCATTGTATTGCAATTCAGAAGAGTTTATTTGGTGAAATAAAGTTTATTTACTCAATTCTGGTTTTGCTAGGAATTTTTGCCTCTCTTTCCCCTCTCTCATTTATTTCTTTTTCTAAGTGATCTCATTGCAATTTACCATAACAGCAAGTTTTACTTCTCCATCCTTATTCTTCATCATAATCACTCAAAGCCCCTCCATTCTAGAAAGCCCACCACCAGATCAGAAAATTGTAGCCCCCTACTCTGTCCTACATCAGTTAGCATTCATCTTGGATCAAGGGTTCACCCAACATGTAGCTTGCAACATAGTAAGGTTGTGGAATAGGCCCCATGAAAAGGTTAATTTTTTTTTCCATAATTTTTGGATAAGCCATTGTTTCCTTAATCGACTGAACTGGCAATCATGTGTATTTATCTCTTTGACCATAAACTATGTGTTTCGGCCTTGAACCTCAATATCACATATAACTTAGAGAATTCGTAGTCATAAAGGATGTTAAATAAAAAAACTTTTGCTTTTATTTGTGTAATTACATTGTTTTATTTGAAAATGTATCAACAAAACAAAGTTGATACACCTTCCTCGGATCCACATTTTGCATCAATTATGGGTAAATGCAAGGAAAATATTCCAAGAGGAAAAAAGAGGAAGGTTACATACCACACATGCTATTACGATTGAAAGTCAGTGTCCCAGCTGGTGAACGCATTTGGTCTCCTCCTTGTTTGCCCCATTCAACAAAAGGTTCTGCTTCATTAATACTGTACCCACTTGTCCAAGTTACAGTCATCTGAGTGTCAAGTATAAAATATACACATCATTAGAGGTCCATCACATTCTTACCAAATTAATAAGCCTCAGAGAAAGAAAGAAAATGAAACAATGAATAGAAGAAAAAAAAGCTGCCAGCATCAAGGAAAAAAAATAGTACTACTTTATCCTTTATTAGTGGGAGAATTAGCGGTAGTTTATTCAAAATATTTTATAACAAAAGAATGGTCATGAAGGCCATGAGAGAAAATCCAGTTTGTATTTGATTGAATAATTCCAAGTTCAGGTAATAAATAAGAAAGAGGAACTGGCATACTTCATTCCATGCTTTGCCTTGGGCCAAGCGTGGGTAAACGGGTGCCTTTGGATTTGCAAAAGCTACTGCATTTGACACTGCCAACAGCTTCGGCTATTTCATCAACAACAATGCATTTAAAAAACCAGTTAGAATTGAGCCTATTGGGAAAGCAAATGTAACCAAACAATTAGTCTATAGAGGAAGCAAACAAAACTTCTAAACCAGTAAAACAGAGGAATGCAACATTATTTATTGTGTGAGTTTTAGATAGTGTCCTACACTGTAGAGTCCACCAGTGAATAGTGCAAAAGAAAAGTCAGATCTCTGGTTGATCAATTGCAGCTTCAAAACTCCCTTCCCAGTGCCTGTGTACTCTCCGTTTGAGTAGTTTGCAAATTGGTACTGCATGCATCATCACATAAAAGTAACAAAACTGACATTCTTATATAGTACAGGTTGGCCTATTTTATGGATGAAGGGCTTCATAAACTTGCAAATTTAGGCCCAGGCAAGTTAAGCCTAGCTCTTCAATGAGATGTTGTTCTTAGGAGCCAGGACTATCTAAGCCAACCCAGAGAACATGACCCTGAGCTGAGCTTGGAAAAGCTTGATTCAGCTCAACTCCCTGAAAGCCCAAGTTTTGCATCAGAATTGCATGGTAACATTAAGACAAATCAAGGGAGGACCTACCTTAATAGGTGCAGTACACAATAATGGAGGAGAAACTCTATCATTTTCCGCAGGACAGAGAGAAGCACTGAAACAATTTGGAATTACAGTACACTTTTTATCTAAAGGGGCATTAGAGATAATGAAAGTATAAAAATCAAAGTACGCAGCAAGCAGCACCTTCAAGTTTTTTAATTAAAAAAAAAAAAACAAATTTTATGCCCGATCAAATTAGATTACTCTTTTTAGGTGAAAAATTAACTACCATGAAATCTTTTCACCTGAAATTTGCAGGAGAAAAAACTCCAATCCAATCATCGTTTGTTGGGCTTGGAGTGCCATACTCTACGGTCACCCATTCCGTATTCTCTCCCTGTAAAAAAGTGAAACAACGCATCAGTCCAAGAAGTTATTACTAATCTTTTGGATGGACGCTCTGCAAGTGAAATGGTGTGTCTATCTGGGTTCAAGAACTTGGATTTAACCTGCTCAAACTCAAAGTCTAAATTGCAGTACCCCCCCAAACCGCCACCACTCAACAAAAAAAAAAAAAAAAAAAAAAAAGAAAAAGAAGAAAAAACCAATCTTCTTTTTCCGCACTCAACTTCAAACCAGTGTGCCTTATGACTTCCACCAGAAGCTCTGAATAATAAAATGGGAAAAAGAAGGAAAAACAGACAAGAGAGATAGCAATCACATTCACCTTCAATCCAAGAACAAACGGAGAAGCCTTAATATAAGCCGATTTATCAAAAGCAAGTATAGTATTGTGGATAGCAATTTTCGAGAGAGGCTGCTCTCCTTTCGGCATCGCCTCTCCAGAGCTTGCAACACCCAGAAGAATTGACAAGAGAAACAACTCGTAGAACCTCATCGTGCTCAAAAAAGCCTGCAATCAATCAACAGAAATCAAACTATACTCAGAACATCGAAACCCATTCCCAAAAGAAGACAAGAACGGTAAAAACAGGTAGAACTACATTCATTGAGATCAATAAATATAAGCAAACAAAGCTGCAGCAAGAGCTGATGCCCCAGAAGTCAAACTCAAATGGGAAAAAGGAAAAAACAAGATGCAAAAAACTGACGAGAAAAGAACTGATCAACTGAGTGAACCAAGAAGTGAATTTCCGAGGAAAATCCAAGTACAAGGCCGAAGAGGAGGCCTAAGAAACGTACCTTCAGTGGAAATATTGAGTTGAGCCTCTGAATTTGTAGGTGCCTTTTATATCCACAGGCTCAAATAAAGGACGACAATCGCCATCGATAATTGAAGTAAGTAAAAAAGAGGTGTGAGTTCTGGCAGCTGAGGAGCGACACTGTAACTGGGAATGACTATGGGCAAATTTTACAGCGAGAGTGAGTTGAGGACTGTCGTCATGAGCGATCTCACTTCTCACCTTGTCCTTTTGGTCATTGTGTCGTCATCATATGAAGATGTCCAGGAAAGATCGGGACGGGGCCAGACAATTAATACTTCCATTTTAAAGTTTGAATGTCTCCCCCGCCCCGCCTCACGCCTGTACAATGCATCAATCCGCTTTCCAATTTTGCTACGACATTTGTACGGGGTTTTCATCGATTCCCCACCCCCCTTTAATCCTTTATTATTGGTTTATACTAACACGTGAAAAGAAATGGGAGAAGTAGTTGAAATTACAGTAAAAAATTGTAAGTATTACGGTCAATGGTCTTTTGCTTCCCAAAAGAGGGGAATTACTATTTTAGGAGACCAATGATCGTTGGTTGGATACTTGAATTCGAATTGAGATCTGCTCCTGACAGGGCGCCTCACAGGCACATCCCACCATTCACCGGAGATTGTTCTCAAGGCACGATGGGATATGTGAGGCGCCCTGTGTAAGGAGCAGATCCGGTCTCCTTACGAAAATAGCTCCATCCTTCCTTCGGTCTGTCAAGTAAGTACTCAAAAGCGCCAGGGAGACGGTGGAATCCGTCCGATTCAGAAAGAAAAAGAGAATATTAAGGCCTGTTTGCTTTTTCCGTAAGTCATGCAATTATGTCGGTAAATTTCTTTTGAGAAATACTGTAAAAAAGGAAATAATCATTTTAATTATAAAAATCTATTATTAAAAAAATATATATTTATCTAACTCGAGTGTTGAAAGCCTACAAATTCTAACCTAGGCTAGGCTAAGCTGAACCGTCATTCTTCCAAAAAAGAACACCTCCTAAATGAGAATATTCGGGATGGTAGCATATAATGCGGAAGGAAGGAAACGTGGTTCAAATAAGGATTATTCGGATATAAAGAGCATCAAAGGAAGCTCAAAGTCAAACATAATAAAATTGTATTTGTTTATTTTTGCTGTGAGTGCAAGTCATCGGTTGGCTTTACACTTCAGCAAATCTTTACCAATAAGATGTTATTCGACGGAAGCATAATTGGAGGCTCACTATATTTATTATAATTACACTACAATCAATCCAAGCGAGGGAATCGTAGTGATTCGGATCGGATGCAGCTAAATCCAGATTGGATCGATTGATAATTTATAATATCCAATTCCGATCTAAAATCTAATCATATGTATGAATAATGGATTCAAGTTTGATTTTTATCGGATTTGAATCCAAGTCTGATGATCATAGGCAAAAGAGGAATAAAAATAAACAAAATGAAGAGAAAGAAATACTTTTTTTTTTCGTTCAATAATCTTCTTTAATTATTCTCATTTATTAAAAAAAAAGGCAAAATGTTTTGGGGGTTCCTCTCAATGGGAATGGGATCCCACTTCATTCATTTATGGTGTTAAAAGCTTGTTGTGCTCCGGCTTGTACCTTTGGTTTGGTATGGTACATGAAACAAGAATGATTTGCTAGTGGGTTACTCTTAGACATGGGAAGAGAAGAAATAATCAATTAGGGTTTGATTTGGTCTGAGTTGAGTTTGTTTTAGTGTTTTTGAATCATCATTAATTTAGATAATCGGATCATTCGGCCCAAAAACCATCTAGCTAATTGGTTCTATTTTACCCTTAACCTTTTTTTTGTCAAAAATATTGACTTGATCAGTGACCCCTTGGCCCAGACGATTGAACCATCAACTCACTCAATCCAAACAACATTTTTTAACCTTTTTAATTATTTTAACTATTATTATTATTATTATTTTAATTTTTAAATTGAAACCGATTACTAAAGAGGTCCCGACCAATTTTGGATCAGTTTTTAAAACATTGATTTGTTTTGTCTTTTCTAATTTGCATGGTGAATGGTAATCTTGTAGAGTAGTAATGGCGTGGCTATGGAACTTGGGGAACGGAATTTCCCCATTTATCATTAATAATTATTATATATTACATTATGTCAAACTTTTACTTTGGAAACTAAGAAAAGTTTAATAGGTGTTTAATATTAACATTAATCACCCCATCTTAATTTAATTTGAGTATCATTTACAAGTTTGATTTAAACTTTTGCATTGGGATAGTGATGGCGGTGCACATGACTTGTCTCTCCACCTGAGTTCAACCAATACAAGAGGATTACCTCTCCATTATCAATATTATGAAGGGTATTAACAGTGGAAGGAGGCAGGGTTAGGTTGGAGATTATATATATACATAGTTATTCCAATTTATGAGATTGGTGCGTAGTTTTGAATCCTGCTAAAAAGTAACGACCATTTAAAGTGTCATTAATGTCAAGAAAAAAAAATATAACATGGTTTTTAAAGCAGATTCGGTAATCGAACCGGTCAAGGGTTTGGTTATCGGGTCAAATGGTCCTACCATTCGAACTGAATGCTCAGCCCGTTTGGACAAAAAACTTAAAAATTAAAAAAATAGTCAAAACCACTCGGTTCAATGATTCATTGACCAAAATCAATAATTGGGGGGGGGGAATCCGACTTTTGGGGAAAATAGAACCGGTCATTTGACCAGTTCTCGGTTTTTCTGGTCCGACCATCCGGTTCGGTCCGATTTTGAAAGCCATGAAATACAAAAACTTATGAGAGTGGTTACGTTCGTTTTAAAGCCATATCTTCATTAGAATTTAAGGTAGTGTTTGGTATTATTGGTGTTTCAACACCCAACAATGCCATTTATAACAAAAAAGCATAAACACTTTGAGATGTATCTTGTTTAGTTGAAATTGTATGCTGATTAAGCATTTAAACAATGATTAGGCATTTAAGGTATTGGTTTGGATTTTTATGGGACACATTTCTATATTTGTATAATTGTATTGGCACCAGTATACTTTTTGTGAAATGATAATGGACTTGGGATCTGCTCCCCACAATACGTTCATTACATCGACCTCACAGCCATATCCCACCTTGTATTAAGAATATCTCCCATGAATAATAATATACAAGAACGAGAGATGTTTCCAATGGATGGCTGGAACATGCTGTGAGGTCAGTGTGATGAACGCTCTGTGAGTAACAGCTTTTATCACTACTGCCCCAAAGGAAATCAACTTATTTTTTTATGTCGAATTTTTTATTACAAGCAAGTAGGCAACATGCAAATATGGGATTCACATCTGAGCCCCAAAAACGCCCCACAGCACATCCCAACCGTGTATTGAGAACATCTCCCAATGACAAGTATGGGAGATGTTCCCTATGCATGTGTGTTTTGAGGGTATATTCTGTGGGGCACATATGTGAATTTACGAACATGAGGTTCCAAATGGCCAAATCATCATTTTCTTGTGATCACTACTGGCTCTATGATACGTGCATGCATGCAGTAGCCGAAGACCCGGTCAAAGTGGATAGCAGCAGAAGACCCGGTCATGTTAGCTCTTAGTTGGGATAAGCCTTATCYATTCAGTTTTAMTTYTGTTAGAATAGATAAGTCTTCAATTCTGTTCCTAGATAAGTGCATTCTGTTTCCTAGATAAGTGCATTAGATAAGTCTTCAATTCTGTTCCTAGATAAGT